TCACCATATCTTAAAAAGGACGTTGCTGCCTTATAAAGGGTTCAACATAGGGCTATAAGAATGATTCCTGGTCTTAGAGGAATGTCTTATGAGGAGAAGTTAGCTGAGCTGAATCTGTTTAGCCTCGAGCAAAGGAGACTAAGGGGGGACATGATCCAGGTATATAAGACTCTAAAAGGTCTGGATGCTGTTCAGCCAAATGGCTACTTCAGTATTAGTTTAAATACTAAAACTCATGGCCAAAGGTGGAAATTAGTGGGAGAACATTTTAAAATGTATTTAAGAAAGCACTTCTTTACACAGTGTGTAGTTAGAGTGTGGAATAGTCTTCCTGTTTGTGTAGCACAAGCTAAAACCCTGGGTTCCTTTAAATCAGAGCTAGATAAGATTTTAAGAACTCTCAGCTATTATTTGAGTTCTCCCCAAACAAACTTGATGGGTCGAATGGCCTCCTCTTGTTTGTAAATTTCTTATGTTCTTACTTAAAAGCAGTAGCTGGACTGTATGTCTTGAAATAACCAAAATGAGCATGTTTCATTCTGTGTGTTGACCCTGGGAAAACAAGAACCTTGGAGCACTGAACCTTGAGCCAGTGAAGGGTTCACTGAAGAAAAAGATGGACGTAGCAGAAAATAATTTAAAAAACATATATGAGGAATATGGGAAGTAAATTTTGAAAACATGCCAAATATCAACAGTAGTGGCTAACACATTATGTATCTGGCAAGCTACAAAGTTTCTGTTTCTGTGAAACAGCCTCGATTTCAGTAACACGCGTGTGCAACACCCTTGTCTGCCTTTAAACTTGATTCCTGGGGTTTAAGGGTGGCACAGTGGCTCAGGTGTTTAGCAATATAGCCTCATGCCTTCAAGGCTTAAATCTCACCTTCACCGTTGTGTACGTAGAGTTTGCATATTTTCCCCATGTTTGTGCAGGTTTCCACCTGCAGTCCAAAACCATGCATACTTTCCAGAGTATTCGCTGATGATGTTCTGTACTTTCTGCTTTTTCTCAAACTTTGGATAAAAACCACCTGCTAAATTAATGTCATGTAAAATCAAATGAAACCAACTCCAGATTTGGTTATCATACACTTTTTGTAGTTCTTATCCAAACCAATGGGGGGATCAGGTTTTAAATCTACAGGTAAGTCAGGGGACACTTACAAAGGGCAGGTGAGAAGAGAAACCTTGATGGCAGTACAGTTAGATGTGCTGTCTGGTAGTGATGCCACTTTGTCCACTGAGGGAGGACTGAAAAATACACATTTCATGCTCAGAGTACAATGTAGTCAGACGTAATTCCATCTTAGAGGATCTGCTTGGCAGAGACAATTTTTCATATTATATATTGTGATTTTGTTTTGCATCTTTGCATTTTCTGGTATTTAGGACTGAACTTTATTTTTATTGTGTTTACTTAAAAGGAGTGTTGCAATGATCATGGACTGATTTATGTCACATTTCTTTTGCGTAAGATCTGGGTGATTCATTCTATGCTATGCATTTCTCTACCAGTAATGGTTGTCTGAATTTTTTTTTTTTTATTCCATTGCGTGATTCTGATGTTTACTGTGGATGTCAAAACAGTTTTGCCCTTTCAGGTTTGACGGTGCATGTCAGTTGGTGCCTTTGGACCAGTCAGCATTACCATTCTGGAACTTTTAAGTTCCCTTTTTATTGTTTTTGTTGCCACATTCCACTCCTTAGATCAGGAGTTTACATCATATGAGAGATGTCTGGCCTTAAAATTTTTCTATAAAGACTTAAAAGCATCAAAAGCAAGTCAGCGGAGCTGGGTCCTTTCATGAGAATTCAGTTCTTCAATGTCTGATGGATGCTTTATTTTGTAGAACAATTAGTTTAGGTTTGCCAGCCACGTGATATGGCAGCATGAATTCATGAATCAGCAGCAACTAAACAAACTGCTTGAGAGTCTTTACTGACATTGTAACTAAAAATATCCATGGAGTTTGAATGTAGTCCAATCAGCCATCAGTTCAATTTCAGCTGCAACCCAACCTGCAACAGCATAGGAGTTTGATTTTGGGGGACCACCAACTTAATAATTTAAAAACAAATGTACGAGTGCAAAAGTTTGCATCCCTCTTAGACTCAGGTTGAATAATAAAAAATCTACCTTTATTTTAGAGTTTATTTTCAAAATATCCTTCCATAATAATTTCTAGATGTCTTTCCTCTGAAAACCTTTAATGAAATGGCCTCAAAATTAAAATAGTTTAGTCTAAATCCAAATTCATCTTTAATGGCAAGCTCAAAAGTTTACATCCCCTTTAATAAAACCTGAAAATTAAATATGTAAAATTAGGTATCTTTAAAAACATCGTCAGCAGTTAATGGTGATGAGTTGCGCCAGGTGTGTTCAATAAGGCCTGCATGTCATAGATGCGAGCGGGTAGATCTCCAGGAGAAGCCTCAATGAGAGCAACAATGATGGGAACCGGGAAACAGCTGTCAGAAGACCTCAAAATGAAACTGGTACATTTTCATAAAGCCGAAGAGGGATATTAAAAACTCTGAAAGCGTTTAGGGATACCAGTACCAACTGTGAAGACCATAATCCAGAAATGGAAAAAACATGGGCACATTAAAACTGTACCAAGGAGTAGAAGACCAAGGAAAATAACTGAAAGAGCTGCTGGGAAAACTGCACGAGAGCTACGTATGGATCCAAAACAAACCACAGGCGACTCAACGGGGCAACTGGAATAAAAGTCCACACCTCCACAGTCAAGTGCAGTCTGTACAACTCTGGACTGAATGGGAGAAGAATGTGCAGGAAACCACTGCTTACTACTAGACACAAGGCAGCAGGCTTAGAATATGCAAAAGGACATGTGAACAAACCAAATGAATTTTGGAATAAGATAATGTGGTCTGATGAGACCAAAGTTGAATTATTTGGTCACAATTCACACAGATACATCTGTTAAGAAAAATACTCTGACTATGAGGAGAGGAACACCTTTCCCATGGTCAGACATGGTGGAGGCTTGTTGATGTTTTGGGGGTGTGTGACTGAATCAGGCACTGCAGCTCTGCATAAAGCAGAAGGAAGAATGAGTGCAGGTCAATATCAACAGATTTTAAAACAAAGTCTCCTTCCGTCAGTTAAAAATCTAAAAATAAAGAGGCAGTGGATCCTACAACAAGAAAAAGAGCCAAAGCACAAACAAACTCAACTCAGAAATGGTTTAAGAAGAATAAGGCGAAAGATTTACCATGACCACCGCAGTCTCCAGATTTGAATGTAATAGAAAACCTGTGGATAGATTTGAAGAAGGCCGTTCATAGTACACAGCCAAGGAATCTGGGACACTTGGAACAAATATGCCAGGAAGAATGGTCTAAAATTAAACCTGAGAGGATCCAAAAGTTGCTCATCGGTTACCCAAAGAGATCGGAGGAGGTTATAAAGGCAAAGGAAGGACGTACAAAGTAGTAGAGAACAGTGGATACAAACTTTTGGATTGATATTATTTTCATTATTTCACTGTCACTCTCTTTTTATATACTCTTAAACCATTTTGTTACTTTTGATGTTGAAGGATTCTTTGTAAAAACTTAAAGTGCATTAAAAATATTGTGTTGATGAAATTTCTTTGTTTTAGTTTTGGTATTTCAAAGTGAGGGGATGCAAACTTTTGCACTCAACTATATACATGTATTTATGAATACAAATCTCCTCTGATCCCTAAGCCCCTGCTAACATGCTTCCTTACTCTCACTGTGCCATGATGATAATATGCATGCATGTCTTGCAATCACTGACAGCACAACAAGCACCTGTGTTAATTACGCAATTTCTGCTCTTTTCCCATCAGCGTCTAATTTTGTGCAAAGTGTGCAGCATTTGTTGTTTTTTCATTCAAATTAAAATCTTCTGTAGGGTGGCACATACTCTTAAACTGTGATTGTTAGGGCAACAACAGTTATAAGACTTGTGAAAGTTGGTATAGTACGTCACATGTGAAGTACAGAAAGAATTTATTTTTCGGTATACTTAAGAAGAAAACCATATGAAACATTTTTTCTATTATCATCAATAATAAGAACGTTTTCCACACTATAGACCAGGGGTCTCCAACTCCGGTCCTGGAGAGCTACTATCCAGTAGGTTTTCTGTCCCACTTGGCTTCTGATGAGCCACACCTGCTCCTGGTATTTATCTGAGAACAGGTGTGGCTCATCAGAAGCCGGGTATGATAGAAAACCTACTGGACGGTAGCTCTCCAGGACCGGAGTTGGAGACCCCTGCTATAGATGGTTAAAAAGTAGCCATAGATGTTTTGTCTGAAAATTAATGTAACTGTATTACCAAATCTCACTAAGCCAATATACACTATATGGCTAGAAGTATGTGGACACTCCTATTAATTAGAGGAATTGCCTAATTAAGCCACGCCCATTGCTGACACAGGTGTATAACTAAGCACATTGTAATGCAACAGACATCAGCAGCAGAATGAATGATTGTACAGAAGTTAGTGATTTTCCACTTTCCTCCGTCATAGGACGCCATGTTTCCGACAAGTCAATTGACCACAATTCTGTCCTGCTAGAGCTGCCGAGGTCAACCTCGAGGCAAGCTCAGATGCGGAACGATCAGCCACGAAGCTAACAGGAAAGGACCCCAATGGTTAATAACACCCAACCTGAATAGTACCAAATGGCACCAGCATCCATCCATTGATTTTCTGTACCTGCTTGTTCTATTCCAGGCCACAGGGTGCAGAAGCTATGGATACAAGGCGGGGAAAACCCAGGATGGGGCACCAACCCATCACAGGGCACACACACAAATTCATACCTATGGACACTTTGGTAACTCCAATTCACCTCAGCATGTTTTTGGGCTTCGGCGAGAAAACGGAAGACAAAGGACACTCCATAACAACAAAAGAAAACCTTCCCAGAAGAGTATAGAGGCTGTTACAGCAAAAATGGTCTTATTATGGTATTATTATACAGGATTTTGGAATGAGATGTTGGATAAGCTAGTGTTCCTATACTTTTGGCCATATAGTGCAACTTAGAAGTGTAAAACTATAGGATGTAGCTGTACTACAAATGTAACAAAACATCGTTATAAAAAGAGCAGTCTGTTAATGTAATACTCTGCCCAATTTTCTTACAAATCAAAATGCATTCAAAAGTATAAAACATAAGAGGTTGAAAGTAGAATCACTCAAAGTCAGTATAAGGTACTTCATATTCTTTGAACTGTTTTGAGCAATCTTTCAAAAAACCTCCGCTCATCACTGCATCTCAACTTCTATGGCATTTGTTGGAACTTTCTTCCGATCTTTCGGTTTTCCGTTCCTGAAAAAGACATCAAACGAAAAAAAAACCGCAATTAACGGAGTTGACAATTCATCTGGCTGGCGTGAGATATTCAATTAGAAACAAGTAATAGTTTTATTACCCTGTAAATAGTCTGTAGGGTTTGCAAACTGCCCCATCGATTTTGATGTAGCTATAATTTAAGGTTAATAATGTAATAATGTATTTGTCGTAAGAGTTTCTTGCGTGAGTGTCACGCGCCAGTTGCGTGAGAGTTGGCAACCCTGAATTAAATAGAAAACGGGCTTAACAAGAAAATGTACGTATTATTTTAGTATCCATGTGGGGCGATTCTAGGCTAAAAGGAGAAACGAGGCTTAGACCAGAACCCTGACGATAAGTCAGAATTATTATTAAATTATTATATTAAATTCTGTCCGACTATTCCGTGCAAAATGCATTAGTTACCTGTCCATCACAGCCCTGACTTTGGTGTTTAATGGCAACAAAAACACATTATACATTTAAGGAACAAACCATGACTAAAATAGATTAAGCCTCGCTAGCCCGACACTGGGGCCGCCAGTGGTACCCATTAACAATCTGAAAAGAATTTTAACACTTTACCTCTGCATAACAAGTACTACGATCGCAGAAATGACGGCAACTGCAAACACACATCCACCTACAATTCCAACGATCAGACCTGAAACACAAGAGAGAATGAATTTTCAGCCCGTTTTACATAGGGAAAAAAGAGAAAGAGCTACGAGTATTTATGGTCCCTTACCGACATTGGCAGACGGCGCATCTGGGTTTGAATCTTGAGCAGACGATTCAAAAGACCGACCCGACTTTGCTGCATTCATGTGAATGAAAACAAAAATTACCCAATCGATGCATTACTGACTCCTAGAGGAAAAAAGTGGAACAGTTCCGTTTGTACAGAACTGTAACCACTTGCAGTTGTAAAAAATAAAGTCTGGTAAACAAGTGAAATTCTGTGTTGAAACAACATTTACATACCAGATAAACTAATCTTCAAACTGAGTGTCACTGCAGATAAAACTAGAATTTTTGTGGGAACAGAACTGGGACACAGATGCACCTGTGCCACACCTGTGCTATGAAGTTATGCCCATTTAACTCTTCCAGTCAACCGTGAAGGAGTAGCAAGACTCCAGACACACAAACAACTGAACTGTCTCACTTCGAAATTCCTTTGTCTTTGACCTTTGGCAAGATGTGGATTGCCATACATATGAAGGATTGGTTTCACTTTTTCTCAACTACAGGCAGCAATAGGTGTGAATTCATTGAATTACTGAATTCAGGTGTCATCATTGAATTACTGAATTTAGATGTTTGATTCAGACCCATTTCCACAGGTATATAAAATCAGGCACCTAACCATGTAGTCAGGTTTACAAACATTTATGAAAGAATGGGTTGTTCTAAGGAGCTCAGTGACTTCAAGCATGGTGCTGTCATAGGATGCCACCTTTGCAGTAAGCCAGTTTGTGAAATTTCTTCCCTGCTAGAATTTACTAAGTCAGTTGTAAGTGGTATTATTGCAAAGTGGAAGCATTTAGGGACAACCGAAACTCAGGCACAAAGTGGCAGACCGTGTACAGTAACAGAGCAGGGTTGCCAAGTGCTGAGGTGCATAGTGTGTAAAAGTCGTCAATGCTCTGTCGACCCAGTAAGAGTTCCAAACTTCCTCTGTCATTAACTCCAGCACCAAAACTGTGCACTGGGAGCTTCATGGAGCCGGCTTCCATGGCCCAGCAGCTGCATGCAAGCCTCACATCACCATGTGCAATGCCAATCGTAAGCTGGGGTGGTGTAAAGCACTGCACCAGTGAACTCTAGAGCAGTGGAAACATGTTCTGTAGACTGATGAGTGACACTTCTCTGTGTCAGTCTGATGGATGAGCCTGGGTATGGTGGACAGCAGGAGAACATTACCTGCCTGTCTGCATTGTGCCAGCTGTAACGTTTGGTGGAGGCGGGATAATGGTATGGGGTTATTTTTCATGGGTTGGACTAGGCCCCTTAGTTCCAGTGAAGGGAACTCTTAATGCTTCTGCATGCAAAGACATTTTGTACAATTCTATGCTTCCAGCTATGTTGAAATGGTTTGGGGAAGGCCCTTTCCTGTTCCAGCAAAAAGAAGAACTAAAGGTGCATGAGCAGCCCACGTACCGCATGTTTCTTGGCATTCCTGCTTGGTCTTAAATTTGTTCCCGTTCCCCCCGCAGCCCCCGTAGATGAACGTCCGGCATGCCTTCTCCTCCGCGTTGTAGTAGAACCTCACGAACCGGGCTAAGCAATTGCCCTGGTCTTCCTTTAACGTGCACACTAAACCTGGACAAATTGTAGGGGATTTTAGGTCTGTTCCTCTTGGTAGACTATAACTCTTGATAGATTCAACCACAGAAAGCAGAACATGGAACAAAGCAATGCCAGAGACAAGACAAACTAGACAGAAATCAAGAGAAGCTGAGTTTGACTTTGAAATCTTTCCAATTGCTAAAAGAGTGACTGTATACATTTTAACAGGCATGAGCAGTGCTTGAAGTGGGAAAAAATAAGTGCAGGAACTCTAATTTTCCGACATTTGACATTTGTGCGGTGAAAAAAAAATCAAGTCTTTGAGAGATGTGTTGGTTCAAAAACTATTTTAATTTAATCATTCTTCCAAGCAATAACCTATAGGCATAGGCTACTTTTTTCTAATTCACAAATGGAATACTGAAAAACCATTAANCTGAAAAACCATTAAAACAACATGTAGTCTTTTATCGGTCTTGTGATATTGTCTATTCTCGGGCCACTGTCGCTGCGTCGGATCAGTTTCAGTAAGTACCGGAACGCAGAAAAAAGTGGCGGAACCCAAAAGACGAAAATACAGAAGTTCCGGAACTGCGTTCCGCTGCATTCCGGCCCACTTCAAGCACTGGGCATGAGTTATTTTAGACATATGGCTGGAAACGTAGAATTCTCAGATTCTCACTGTCCCCCAGGCCTGGTACAATAAACATAACTGGAGAAGGGGTAGCAAAATATTTTGGTTGAGCAACAACATTTTTTTAATCCTATATTCACTTGGGGAAAATCCTGTTAAAGTTTTATCTTTTATATTTATTTTAGAGACGGGGCCCCTCAGCTCCCCCCTGAGGTACAGTGCCGCCATACCTCCAGGCGGGTATAGCTCATGGTGTTTGTCCGAGCAGGCCTGCATGCATTCAGCGTCTGACGGGAAGCGATTTTCGTTCCCTCCATTTCCTTTGTAATGGAAGGGAATGCAGATTCCCTGTGTGGTGTCATAGTAGAAACTATGTATCCACACCTCCCCACTTCCTTGGTCCATAGGCTGGTTACATCTAGACTCTGGGAAGACAAGAACATACAAAAACATATAAAGATTGTGGACAAATGTGAACTGCTTAAATAATTGAGAAAAATTTCTAAATCATGTGTCACAGAAATAAGAGCTATACACAAGTCTGACTTACAGTTTGCACTTTGGGCACAACAAGAACATATACAACTACAGTACAGAGTGTTTCTGTAAATAAAATCGATAAATAGTATAGAAAATATATAAACTAATTTAGACTTATTTAGCTTTCTTTACATAAATAATAAATAAATACAAGGCTGTACTCCCACAAGTGGTTTCCTTACCAGGATCCACAGAAAATCTATTGATAGTCAATAGAGCTTATTTAGTATAAAGGGTTACAATGGGCTGTCAGGGAGTCAGGAGAAGTTTGGAAGCAACAGATGTAATGTTGAAGAGCAAAAAGTGATTATTGGTTTGTTTGCAATTTGCCATAGTTCCTCTAAAAGGACATTAGAGTTGAATCAGGAGCGAGTTGATATGGCACAGGTAGTAGTCTATATTAGATACCACAGCATAGTTCAAACTGTTGCATGTGTCATCATCAGGATTTCGGCTTTTAAAAACAGCTTCAAGATCTTTACTCACGGTCAATGGAAGAAGCAGAAGCAACCACGACCACGACGAAGCACAATCCAAAGGAGTGATGAAATGTCATGTTTCCTGTGGAGTGTGAAGGACTGGTGACCCTGAGCACTCTGTCTGCACCGTGATGGGCTTGTCTCTGCTTGAATGCCTCGGTCTGCAGCAGCTTTTTGCAGGTTAGCATTGGCCTTTGGACCCACTTATCAGGCTGTGAGTTCCAAATGACTGGGGAGTGTTTTTCACTCTCACACACACCCTTTGGTCCCGGTTTCTGCCTCATATAACAATAAAACATCTTTAGCCATCTGACTCACCAGATACTCTCATCATCTGTAATCCATATAAGATCTACAAAGTCCATCCTTTTAGAGACTTTGCAGTGTTGGCTAGAATGGCAATATCATGTTTTCCAGGAACTATCATCTAATTACAAGCCAAGTTTTGATCATACTGTAATTAATCAGCATTAAAAATGCTTCATAAAACTTTAAAAAGCATGATCATTATTCTGTCCATGTATACATGCATTTTTTGCTGCTTGTTGGGGGCTGGGTGGAGGGGGCTGCAGTCTGAGCAGGGATTCTTCATGTAAACAGTGATCATCATTGCTCTGAGTGAAGGACTCAGTGTTATATCCAGTTGTATTGTACTCAGTTCAGAGTCTTATTTGTGGGGCTTGTCTTAGTTTGCTGGTGTTTGTGTTGGGTCTCTGTCATGATTTCCAGGATGATCACTGGCTTTGTGGTGTAGGGTCTTGATATATTGTTTCAGGGTCCATGGTTCCTGTTAAATAGCGTTATATCTTGAGTTTCTGGTCCCGGTTAGCATATGTCATGTCCCTGGGATCGTGGTTCTGATTACCCGGAATTACACATCTGGTGTGCTGGGCAACTTGTCTCCTGTTTTAGGGGTTTCTGGTTTCTGTGTTTCAGCCCTACTTCCTGTTTCCTGGTTCCTCATTCTGAAGCTACCCAGTCAGCCAGAAGCCCCTAGACCTACTGGTTACCTGTTTCCTGCAGTAAGCTGTGTTAAGGTCTCAGGGGGCAGAGGGAAGAAGATCCAACATTATGGATGGGTGGCCCTGTTTGGGGTGCTCTGTGCCAAGCTATATAAGTGAGAGGCAGTAAGTGTGGTTTTACCAGAATGCTTTGAGTGCTAATCATAGCAAGAACAAAGTCAATATCTTCAGTTTCGTTGGTGACATCTATTTTTATGATGACTTTTATTACCCTGCCAGTTTGTCTAAACATTAACTGTCAGATCTCCTATTCCATGGCATATCACTTTCTAACAATGCTGAAAATAAATTCAAACATTTTAGGAATGTTTATATATTAGTTATTTAATAAAGCTGGCAATTGTTACTTATTACCTTTTAAAATAAGAGATGAGGATAAAGTAGGAAAACATCTGAGGTAAGTTAAGCACTCCGCCTACTCATATTTTACGAGTTGGTTTGGTCTGGGAGTTCCTGTAGTAGGCTTCTGCAAAGAGTGCTTTATCACTGATCACGTCCATTGCAGTTTTATAAGTATCCAGTAACTGCATTCGTCACATGTATAATAAATCATATTTATTATATTAAATTAAAATTCAGTTTATTTTCGTTTGTTCATTTAAGAACATAAGAACTATACAAACTAGAGGAGGCCATTCGGCCCATCGAGCTCGCTTGGGGAGAACTTAACTAATAGCTCATAATCAAATATTAAGGTTTCTTACTAATTAAGCACAGTAGTGAGGAAATATTACTTCCTTTGTAATAATTCCGTTATTCATGTAACCAAAACATTTACAAAATATGATTTTTTTTTTTTATCCAGGATGTACTTCAGCCTTATATCCTATGCAGCCGGGGATAGGCTCCGCCTTCCCTTGCAGAACTAACCAGGAAAAGTGGAAAGAAGATGGATGGTGGGCTGATGAAAGCTTCACATATTTGTTTTGTTTTTGTATAAATGATTGACCAATGAAATGTAAGGAAAAATCAGTTAATGTTGAAAATGGTAATGCACATACTTCAGCTTAGTTTACCTCGTCCTATTCTATACTTGCATTATAGAAATCATTTGTTTGTCAATTGTTGCTAATTGTGTCTACATTTAATTCAGAGGAATATTAAAAACTTTGCTGCAACAACTGGAGAACAAATTGTATGTATTTAATGGGAAAAGGTAAAAGTGTCAGGATCAGTGCCCAGCTGACCCTGTCCCATGTGTCTTATCCCCATTTGGCCAGCAGGTGTCACTGGCCATCCTGTTACCCCCGCTGTCTTGTAGTCGCTTAGTCCCTAGTATGTTTCCCTACTCCATGGGCCAAGGTGTGGCTTAACAAGCTGAAGGGTCGGCCAGCATCCAGACTCCTTTTGTTATGGTTATAAAGCCGGCCAGAGGTCTCAACTAGTTATTTTTTTGTTTAGCATTTGCTATTTGATTTACTTAGATTTCCAGAAGGCCTTTGATGTTGTCCCCCA